GTGATGAAGACTGCTGTTCAGAGTCTTCTAAGCATGGTCGTTTACCAATTAGCAGTATTTTTAACTATTTTTTTTATTTGGAATGGGGGATCCATAATTAAGGAGAGAGATTCAGTGCCCACTGACCCCACCCGCCATGGAGTCCTACGAGGGGTTGGCCAGGGTTTCGTGAGCACTATACCCAAACACCAGTATCAGACACGATGTTCACAACACCCGTTGAGAATGCCCAACACTGGTACTCAGTTGACCCTAGCCCCAGTGGACCAGCCGATTGACCCTAGGGGGCCACCCCAAGGTCACACGTTTACAGGAATTCAAAGCCAAAGTGGTGTGTTGCAGTGCCACAGACACCACTCAACCACCAGGACCCTCTCCTCCCCTTCACGGGTCGCCATGCACGGCAAACACGTGGGTGGATGTTTAGATCCAAGAGAAAGTAACTGAAGATACAGAACCTTCCCTTGGAGGTCCCCTCACCACGTACAGGAATCCACGTTGAGGGGCTACAATGTAGGACACACAGAATTTTTCAAAACACCCATGTAGGACTCAGTATTCATGGATCCATACACTACAACCAGTGGACTTAGCCTATACTACGAGAAGCAGCCCCAGACTATAATACTCAGGTAATAAGTATTCTCCAGATATCCACCTACCCAAACACGTACATCAGAGTGGAAAAGCATGAAGCATGACTCGTTGCTCCACAAGACTGATTTCCATTGATCCATGGTCCAGGTTCGGTGTGCCTTGCCCCATGCTGATCGACAGTGTGCATCTGTCATTGTTATCAACGGCTTGTGGGCTGCAGCTCTTTCGTGAAAATTCATGACATGCAACTCTTGACGTGTTGTGGAAACACTTACAGGACTGCCTGTGGCTGCTCACATCTTCAAACACAGATTCTCTGGACTCTGATGGCGAGATGAGGTAACCAGCCTTCTCAAGGCGCATCAGCTCCTGTCAGTCAGTAGTTTATGCCTACCTGGTCGTTTTTTGGGCTCATTGTCACCTGTGGACTTCCATTTCTTCAGCACATTGTCAACTGTCGACCTTGGAATGTTTAATTGTTGCAAATAGCATGTACAGACATTTTCACCAAGTGACATTCAACTTTCCTTCCCCTCTGAAACTCTGTTAGCTCTTTTTGTTCACTCATCGTTCAGTGTACAATTTCAAAATGACTTCTAAGCGAACCTATACCAGATGTCAGATTGTACTCTCCTGACACCATGTCAGCACCTGTAAGACAGAAGTTCCTGGACTGGCACTGTCAGCAATGAGAAGAAGAATACATCTTTGACTTCCAAGAAGAGATGTGCAGGTAAGAAAAACACTATCAATGTTGACTTTTATTAACATTTTTTTGAAATTTTGTTAAGTTATATTTATTTTTTTATTTAGGTACTGCCGATCAGACGTAAACACACTTTGATAGTACTGTATTCAATTCAGGGAAGAGTTTCTTTCAATCTACAACATAGATCCCTTCAGGTACACGACCATTGCTTTTGTATGCATGGCTGTATACAGAAGCAAATTTATATCAACACGATCGATAGCTCTCGTATTTAACTACGGATACTTAACGACCAACAACAAGTAAATATCTAATAGTTAGATTACATACAGAAATCAGAGAGGGTCAAGATCCAACACGCACTTAATGGTGGTGAAAAACAAATCCTAAATTATAGAGTAGACGGATTCAGTAAGGAACACAATCTATGAGATTTATGGGTGCTACTACCATGGGTGCAATACATGTTATAGCTCTGATGACTCTGATACACAGAACATTCTAAATAGACTCATGTAGTTTGTTACAAAGTAGAAGACAACAACAACTCGAAACTCTAGGGTACAAAGTCATATCAACATGGGAACATGAGTTTAAGAAAATTAAACTTAATGTTCAGACTTGATAAATTTCCTTAGTGACCATACTGTAATTTCCTGCCTGGATGTACGAGGTGCCTTCTATGGAAGGAGAGTTAACACAACAAGGCTTTTATACAATATAAAAGAAGGAGAAAAGATCAAGTACGTGGACTTTAGATTACTAGATCCATGGACAAAGAAATACTGTAAGTATCCAGTTGGACATCCTACCATCATAAATTTATCTGAATTAAAAAAATATTTTGGATTCATAAAATGTAAAATTCTAGCCCCGTGGAAACTATCATCCAGTTTTACCATTTAGAAGTGATGGTAAACTAACCTTTCTTTTGTGCAGTTCATGTGTGGAATCCAGATCACTGCCACCATGTGACTACTGTGATGACAAGAGAGCTTTCATAGGTACCTGGATCACCAAAGGTGTAAAAAAAGCAGTCGAGTGTGGATACCAGGTAATAAGAATATGAGGTTTATCATTTTCCTGTCAAATCTAGATATTTGCAAGAACTATATCGATAAGTTTCTTAAATTAAAGCAAGAAAGTTCTGGTGGGCCCTCTTACTGTAACATCAGAGGCAAAACAATATTATGTTGACCAATATAACGAAAATGAAGGAGTGCAACTGACCCCAGAAAACATAGCATTTAATCATTTTTATCATGTTAAATCGATAATAGTTTCACATGCAATTAAATCTAGATATTGTTGACATGTTGATGCAATGAGCTCATCATCCTCCATTTATGAAAACACTACAGTTAGTAACTAGTTATATTAATAGCATAAAGACAAACTACTGAAACTGTAAGTTTTTATGTTAAATTATTTAGAAATTTAAATAAACATCCTTTTCAGCATGATAAGTAATTTAAACATAAAATGTCAGGAAATGTAAAAAGTATGATTAAATATAAAATTAATGAATAAGTAAGTTATACCTAAACCAACTGTATTAAATCTAGCTATTGATTACATGTTGAGACATGTATGAAAAAAGGGTAAATTTCCTTCTTAAGAATCTGAATCAGAGAAACGGGGTAAATTTCCTTTCAATAATATTATAAAACATCTGTATCGTAGAAAACGTGATGAAGTTTCTTCTTAAGATATCAGGAAACATTTGCCTTTTGGAATTCGTGGTAAAATTCCTTTTAAAGATATCAGAAGACAACTGTATCGGAGAAAACTGAGTAAAGCTCCTTTATAAGACATCATGACACACTTGCATCCTAGAAAACTGGATAAAGTACCTTCATAGGACATAAGGAAACCCCTGCTTCCAAAGAGTTAGATAGTTTGTAAGAAGGAAAAGAGTTCGGGTTAATATCTACTACCTTATGGTAGTAATTTAACCTACTTGGCAATGTAACCTCCCATCGGTCCAGCCCCGTTTCGGTCGTCCATAACTCTTGCTGGTTGATTTCCAACTATTTTCCCATCTTCATTGCCCTTCCATGTGCTTGGATCTTCCTTGAACTCTTTGGACCTGCAGAGAAAACATGCAATTATTTCAAGGGGGCAAAATCAACTTTTAGAAACTAGAGAAAAGATAAATCTAATAACGTATGAAAAAATGTACCTATCACTGCAAGAATGTATAGGTCGAAATGAATTAATGAAGTACAGTAGAAGTGAAATCTCAATTTTTATATTATATTCGCATTTCTATAATCAGTGTTTCTACTGTAGAAAGTATGACTATAATGGCTAAACTTCTGGAGATTCAGAACGTTTAGTTTATGAGCACTTTTCTTTAAGTTTACACAACAAGTTTTTTAAATTTATGGATACAGAGTATTAAACTGAAACACAAAAATGGTGTAATTGTTTGAAAAAATACATTTTTATATCAAAATAACAACATAACCTGCTACATTATAATTTATAAAATATCTAAGTTCTAATATCGACAAAAATTGAATAATTTTACAAATCTTAGTAATACCTTGAAATGAACAATCAAAATAAAATTTCAGTAACACGAGGTCAAGATGATATTTAGAGAAGTGAGCGAATAGACTCCATTTTACTTTATTTACATAATTTCAGTGCCTGTTTTTATTATGCATCACGCATGTACGCAGAAGGGTTCGAGGGGGTTCGCCGATCCCCCTAATTTTGTGATGTAAACAGATTATACTTATATAGTCATAACGCTTGTATTATTTAACGTTTTCTACATAGTTTCCACTTTTCCGATGAAGTATTAGCATTTTTTTGGTTTGGAATAGTCGCATGTCTCGGACCCCCCCCCCATAGCATTAGTGTGGTTTGCATGCTGATCGTGCTTGGCACAATATGTGTCGGCTTTTGAAATCACAAATTAGAACCTCCCCCCCCTTTCAAATAATTTTCATACAGGCCTGTTCATAATATTAGTACGATATTTAAGATATTGGAGTGCTTGTGTCTAAGATTAGTCTCAACAGTTTCCTTAATTTCTAGTAGTAGTCGCAGTTCTTTATATCGTAGGACTAGTCACAATAGTGTCTTTGAATAAAGGATGGGTGTGCTTGAGCTTTGAGGATCTCTTACTTGAGTGTTATGTCAAAGTTTTGCGTAAAAGACCATTCAGGTTGAAATTTAAACATTTTTATTTGATACTTGTTTGTTTTGAATTTCGCGAAAAGCTACACGAGGGCTATCTGCGCTAGCCGTCCCTAATTTAGCAGTGTAAGACTAGAGGGAAGACAGGGTCAGATATTTGACTTTGTATAAATATTTCTCCGACAGTACGGTTCAATCTATAAGGCTTTATTAAGATCTTAACATTACATAAAATTATACAAAAGTCAAAATTCCAATCCAGGACCACTTACAGGAGATAACCAAATATAAACAACAATGTTGTTTTCGTGAGATACTGGAGAAAAAAAATTCCTTTATAGATATATTGTTACTATAATATAATTGATTTTTAGAAAACATGTTCATGAAACACTTACTTAGATTTTATTTTCAGAAAAATATTAATCAGCATTTACCGTCATATGATAGGCATTTAGTTAGTACTGTATAGTTGTTACCAGTGTTTTGTATTCTTATTTAAATTTTAGTTACAAAGACACTGTACACTTACTTGTTGCAAGGACAAACACATATGCCACAACACTTCTCCATGCCAGTCAAATTTTTCTCCGCCTCTTTCATGTCGGCATTGATCTTATCCATATCTTCTTCGATCCTATCCAGTTGTTCTAGACAGTGGATAGTGTAAAACAGTTCATGTGTTATTCATTTTTAAACTTTTTTTTTCTTTAAAACGGAATTACCTTCAGATACATATCACAACTTAAACCTGAATTATTTACAAGCAAGATAAGTACTCCTGTTTAATCAAACATTATTAACGTAACGAAGTTTATATACAAAATTCACTATTATTTTTAATGTAATTCTCCTCTCTAACCCTAATCCAGAAAAGAGTCAGAACAAAAAACTCTGAGTTAAGATTAACAATTTTCCTATCAAGTAAATTATATTCCTTTCGTCATGCAACATAACTAGTAGGGTAAGTTTCATGAGTGTGTGTGTTATACTGAATAACAAACATATTTCCAGACATCTTAGTGATCTCATAGTTTATTCATTTTAGGCAAATTGACTTTTTACTATGTATGTATGTATGCAAACTGATGGTTCACAGTTCCGTCTTCTTTCAGATGGGCGTTAGTTTTCTTTGTTCAATGTAACACTAGCGTCGCTTGCGTGTTGTGAATACACAAAACAATATAATAAACTATGATTATGTTTTTAGAACTCTACTTTAGGACCAATATAACAAACTATGATTATGTTTTTAGAACTCTAGTTTAGGACCAATATAACAAACTATGATTATGTTTTTAGAACTCTACTTTAGGACCAATTTCGTAATTAGTGATGAAAACTGGAATTTTTCAAGTACGAGATATTCCTGCTCCCCCCCCCCCCCTTGTGCATTCCTGGATGCAGCAGGTACTTCATTATAACACTAAATTTATTAATAAGATTGGAACGATACTTGTGCAAGTTTTCATACAAATCTATTTAAGATAGAAAACAAACGTTTAATAGCGCACAATGAATATTCAAAAATGTTTTAGAATAGTTAATCATTTTACTGTATACAGAATATATTTTACTGTATAAAATAAGACTGGCAACAATCTCATGCACTCTACCTGATGACGTTTAAACATACAGTGTATGAGATTATTCCCAGTCTCAGGGCCTTTTATCTTTATGCGGTAAATTTATTAAGTAAAACAATTTTTATTTCTTATTTTGACATTGGGAACAGTCTCATGCACTCTACCTGATGACGTTTAAACATACAGTATATGAGGCTATTCCCAGTCTCAGGGCATTTTATCTTTGTATGGTAAATTTATTAAGTAAAACAATTTTTATTTCTTATTTTGTCACTGGGAACAGTCTCATTTTTAAATATTCATTGTGTACTATTAAACATTAGCTTTATTTCTTTAATACATTTGCATGATAACACTAATTTACATGAACATATTTTTATTTATTGCAAGAAAGCATAATAAATACTAATTATCTATAATTAGGAATCCCAATGGAGACAAACAATAAACAGGATGGCCACAAGCTTCTCCTGACTAGCCAGCAACCTCCATGGAGACAAACAAACAGGTTAGCTACATCCTTACCTTGATCAAACATTAATCTCCATAGAGATAAACAATAAACAAGAGTGGCGACATTCTTTCTCTGACTAAACAGAGAATCCCCATGGAAATAAAAAACACACAGGGTGACCACATTCATTCCCTGACCTTTCAAGTATAATTTTGGATTTTCCAGGCCTGCACAAACGTGTGTACAACACACTGACGTTTCAAATTTCCCTCGTAAATCCATACTTAATTAACACTACCTTATCTTGTATAAAGAACAGTAAGAACTCTATCTCGTAATTTGGCTATAAAGGCTAATAAAATCTGCGCTAGCCGTCCCTAATTTAGCAGTGATAGACTAGAGGGAAGGTAGCTAGTCAACACCATCCAACGTCAACTGTTGCACTACTCTTTTACCAACGAATAGTAGGACTAAACGTCACGTTATAGCGCCTTCATGACTGAGAGAGCATGTTCAGTGACCGGGTTTCAAGCCCGCGACCCTCAGATTACAAGTCGAGCGCCTTAACCATCAGTCCATGCCAGGGCAGAAAGATCTTAAAATATGAATATCCCATCGGGGGACATTAGAAAATATAACAAAATAGAAAAGTATCACAAAATAAAATAGAATGACTGACCAAGATCAATTAATTGATGACATAGCAAAGTATGTAGCTTGTATGCTGTTTAATAAGAAAGGACAGGCATAACTGCCCCTGTCTTTTTACCCTGTGAGTAAAGTTGTGAGACAAGAGAGATTCAAATAACCATCTGGATAGAAACAAAATATAAAATGTTCACTATTGAATATCCATAACCAGGGATCTCCCTGGATACGACCTATGAAGTAATTCAATAACAATGTTTATTAATGACCATCTATAACCAAAGATCTCTACAGAACTGAACTATGAAATGATTGTTATGGTTTGTTATGAATTTCGCGCAAAGCTACACGAAGGCTACCTGCGCTAGCCGTCCCTAATTTAACAGTGTAAGACTAGAGAGAAGGCAGCTATTCATCACCATCCACCGCCAACTCTTTGACCACTCTTTTACCAACGAATAGTGGGATTGTCCATCACATTATAAGACCCCCACGGCTGAAAGGGCGAGCATGTTTCGTGTGACGGGGATTTGAACTCGCGACCCGCAGATTACGAGTCGAGCTCCCTAACCACCTGACCATGCCAGGCTCTATGAAATGATAACAATGTTCATTGATAAATTTCTACAACCAGATATCTCCATGGAGACGAAAACAGTAAAGCTCATTCACTAACAAAGACCGTATTAGATAATAATTTCTGATTTGGTTTAAGATAAAATCCGTATCTGTAAAACATATTACTTTCATATATTATTTGTTTGTGTAGAGTTAATCAAATTAACAAAACAATCCTAAAAAAATAGAATTATCAAAGTTTATGTTGTTAATAGAACAACTAACCATTCTCGAAACGTTTTCACTGTTATTTAATTTATTAATTTACTAGCTGGAGTACCCGTCTCCTGTACAGAAGTTATGTAAATTCATGATTAATGAAAGGTTATCTTAGGACATGAAAAGCTGCTTCCCTTATATGTAATCGAAAAAAACTACAAAACACAAAATGTGAAACCGCAAATTTGCATGTATCTCCGCATGGATTCAACAAACCTTCATGCCAAATTTGGTGAAGATTCCTCAACAGGGGGCGAAGTAGTGGTAAAAAAGCACGAATAAACGCCCATAAAAACCGCAAAACGCAAAATTCAAAACTGAAAATTTGGTGTACCATCGCATGCACCCATTGAACCTCCATACCAATTTTGGTGTAGATTCATCCACATCCTGCGCAGTAGTTACTTGGATAGAGAACAGATAGTACTATTATATTTATATTGATATGAAACGTAAAATGTAACATGAAATATTCCAAATACTGTAGTTGTTCAAAAAATATAAATTGTTTCTTTTTTTATTTATTAATTTTTACATAAAGATTATATCTGTAACTACATTTTCCGTGTTACGTAGGAAAATATTTCTACAAAATTATCATTTCGAAACTTTCACGAACTAGTCATATTTATCGATTGGTTAAATTCTAGCTTTCTTCATCGCATTAATAAACCAGATGTGCGTGTTTCTTTCTTGTCAGATACTTCTTGAAGAGGCTATCTTCTGCTTATCAAGAGAAGTGAGATTGCTTTTCATTACGCAACAGATGTCTCACTAACGCAGTTTCAAGTCTATTTAGGCCTGGCGTGGCCTGCTGGTTAATGTGCTCGACTCGCAATCTGAGAGTCATGAATTCGAATCACCGTCACCGAACATGCTCGCCTTTTTAACCATGGGGCATTATAATGGGACGGTCAATCGCACTATTCGTTGGTAAAAGAGTAGTCCAAGAGTTGGAGATGAATGGTGTTGACTAGTTGACTGATAAATTAGGGACAACTAGCGCAGATAGTCATCGTGTAGCTTTGAGCGAAATTCAAACCAAATAAAGGATGAATTCTTATCTGCCTCTCTGACCTTCTCTCAATTCATCCTTTACATTTAAATCAAATTAAAAGTTACGACTATTTAAAACTTTCGGAAATTTCTCTTGTTTTTTTTTTAATGAAATCATGTACAACTTATATTTTCCCGACATGCAGTGAGTATTATCATATATTTACTATAACAGAAACATAGCTCCATATCTGACCAAGAACTTCATTGTTGTTTTTTCCAAAAACAAAACTATATTCATTTGCGGGATGGGGATGAACCTGAACAATCCAATGTCAAAACAACTGTTCAAAATAATGATGTCAATGTGATATCAGAAACAATATTCTTCATCTTTTGCTTAAGTAATGGATGTTCATAAGTCTTTCGTAAAATCTAATTGTAGTTAGAAGTGTAGTTTAAAGAGTCTGTTGTTAATAAAAGTGTTAAAAAATTAACTGCAGTTGCTATTAACACGTTTTGGACCTTCTCTGATGTAGAGTTATGCGTTAATTATGAAGAAGTGTAGTCAAATATCTACAGTTAAAGTAATCTAGAGAAACATCATCTCACACTATCTGTCAAACAAGTCAAAACAGGCAGCTGCAATGTGTTTTTTACTCAAACATTTATAGATAAGTCTTTCAACTGGGGGTACGTATATCATCATAGTAGTCGATACTACACCCATCTTGATACAAAAGTTTTACCAACGGTTTGTTACAGAGTTTAACAGTTTTGTCTGTAATTTATTATCTGTATTACTAACGTTATCTTATATAAGTACTTCATACTTTATCGCCATTGAGATTCATAACACTAAGTATATTGATGTGTTACGTAAGTTGGTTGTTTGGTAACTTTTAAGAACAAAGTTCCACAATGGGTTATCTGTGATCAGCCCACCACTGGTATCAAAACCTCATTTGGAGTATCGTAAACCTGTAAAGTAAATGCTGAGACACTGGGAGACCGAACCTAAGCCATAATATTTTAAATATATAAATGTGGTAGTTTCTCACAGTTTCAATACGTAAATGTGGTTTGTAAGTCATAACACAGTCAATATCGAATGCGTTAAAGCTTATACGTCACTGATTGTATTTTCAATTTAATTTGTAAAAATAAATCCGTAATATAATATTCAAAAAAGTTGGTCCGCTGTATACAATCAACTAATAAATCAGGCACAATGTCATAATTTTATTCACACAACTAAATTAACTTAGGTTACTCTATGATGAGTTAAATAGGACTTAAATCCCCATAAATATTATTTCTGCACTGTTATATGGGGAATATTTCACAATATCGGTTATACAAGTTCCACATTTTATTTTTGGAATTGTTTCCATTAATTTCTATTTGAGAATTGTTTCACAACATTGATAATAAAGTGGTACCAACTTTTACTTGAGAATTGTGAGGAATTATTTCAAAATATAAGTTATACAAGTACTATCTATTTTTGCTTGGAAAAGATTTTGTAATACTGGTTACACAAGTACCATCTACTTTTGCTTGATAATTAATTCACAATACTGGTTACAAAAGGTTTTCCCACTTTGGTTTGGAAATCGATTTACAATATTACTTATAAAAGTTCAACGAACTTTTGTTTGGGAAATGTTTCACAATATTGGTTATACAATTTCTACTCAATTTGGATTAAAAATTATTTTGCAATATTCATTATCAAACTTTACCCACTACCGTTAGGAAGTTTCAAAATATTGGTTAAACAAGTTCTACATATTTTTGTTTGGGAAGTGTTTGACAATACTGGTTACATAAATTATATCTACTTTTATTTATGTATTGTTTCACGGTATTGGTTACACAAGTTTTACCCACTTCTGTCTGGGAATTAGTTCTACACACTCTTGTTTGGTAATTGATTGACAATATTGGTTACATAACTTTCACCCACTTTTGTTTGGGACTGTTTTCAAAATATTGGTTATACAAGTTCTACCCACTTTTGCTTGGGACTGTTTTCAAAATATTGGTTATACAAGTTCTACCCACATTTGTTTGGGAATTAGTTCATAATATTGGTTACATAACTTTCACCCACTTTTGCTTGGGACTGTTTTCAAAATATTGGCTATACAAGTTCTACCCACTTTTGCTTGGGACTGTTTTCAAAATATTGGCTATACAAGTTCTACCCACATTTGTTTGGGAATTAGTTCATAATATTGGTTACACGAGTTCTACCAATTTTTATTTGGAAATTGTTTCTCAATATTGGTCATGCAAGTTTTACCCACTTTGGTTTGGGAATTGTTTACCAATAACGGTTATACGAGTTCTATCCACTTCTGTTTGAGAACTGTTTTACAGTATTGGTCATACAAGTCCCTAAACATTTTTATGGGCTTGTTTCACAGTATTGATTACACACGTTCTACCCACTTTTGTTTGGGAATTGTTCCACAGTATAGGTTATACAAGTTCCACCCACCTTTGTTGGAAATTGATTTACAATATTGGTTATACAAGTTATAAACAAACTATTGTGGGGAATTGGTTAACAATACTGGTTATAAAAGATCTCCCCACTTGTGCATTCGAATTATTACCACCTGCTTTTGTGAGAAAATTATTGCATGAAATTGGTTACATCATTTTTTCCTTGGAAGTTCTTTCACAATATTTGTTATACAAATTCTACTCATTTTTGTTTGGAAATTGTTCCACAATATTGCTTATAAACTCTACCAACTTTTGTTTGGTAACTGCTTCACAATATTGGTTATACAAATACTACCCACTTTTGTTTGGGAATTATCTAATACTATTGTTTACAGAAGTTTTACCCACTTTTCTTTGGGAATTGTGACACAATATCAGCTATACAAGTTCTACCAACATTTGTTTGGGAATTGTTACACAATAGTTGCTATAAATGTTCTACCAAATTTTGTTTTGGAATTGTTTGACAATACTGCTTAGATACGTTATAGCCACTTTAAAAATTGTTTCACAATACTGGCTATAAAAGTTCTACCCATTTTTATTTGGGAATTATTTCAAAATATTGTTTATCAAAGTTTTACATACTCTTTTTTGGCAAATATTTCACAATATTGGTTATACAAGTTCTACCCACTATTGTTAGGGAACTATTTTAAAATTCTGGTTGTATAAATGGTACCTACTTTTTAGGCGGGAATTATTTCATAATATTGGTTATACAAGTTCTATCCACTATTGTTAGGGAATTATTTTAAAATTCTGGTTGTATAAGTGGTACCTACTTTTTAGGCGGGAATTATTTCATAATATTGGTTACACGAGTTCTATCCACTTTTGTTTGGAAATTGTTTCACAATATTGATTAAATAAGTTCTACCCACTTTTATTTAGGAATGGTTTCATAATATTGGTTGAACACGTTCTATCCACTTTTGCTTGAGAATTAGTTAATAATATTGGTTATACTACTGTTAGCCTCCTTGTGATACCGGTATAATCAAACAATACCCAAAGAAAAGTGGTCAAAACTTGTGTAACCAATATTATGAAATAAATCCCAAACAAAAGTGGATAGTACTCTGTATAATCAATACTATGAACTAATTCCCACATAATAGTGGGTAGAACTTGTGTAACCAATGTTGTAAAACAATTGCCAAACAAAAGTGGGTGAAACTTGTAGAAACAATATTGTGATACATTTACCAAACATATTTGTTTCACGGTACTGATTATACAAATTCTACACCTCTTTGTTTGGGTGTTTTTTTTTTTAAGATACCGATTACATAATATCTTGGGCTATGATAATTTCAAAATTCGAAGATTTGGATAAACGTCATGATCTCAGCAGGAAAAATTGGTGAAATAAACTTCTGAACAACACACTCATCAGGATCATTTCTTTGTTCAGCTCTATATTTCATTCATTTTCACATGATCAAATATTCCATGCAGTTTTTTCTGATCAATAATCACAAAGCACTAGAACACACCCAATATCTTAAAAAAACGTTTCTGCGCATGCCTATCCTGGTTATATTACACACAAAGAAATCTGCCTTAGATGTTATACCCCTTAGTAACTTTAACAAGCTTATGGAAACATTTCTCATCAAAGCTTGTATAAAATCTAATAATGACGTCATAAGCAGGAGTACGTACATGATACATCCAATTTGTGTAAAGTACACAATAAACATGGTTCCTAAGTATACAGCCCCCACTTTCAAGAAAATAAATATTGACACACACATATAGACACACCACAGAAGCTAAGGCAAGGTCTCGGCACCCTCCATCAACTCTTTGTTAAACGCAATAACTATCTTCACGACAATGTAACGTAACAGTACGTTTTAGCTGCTTGCTCATCGTACATTCTGTGATATAGTTTCCATTAATGCGGAATTTCACGAGGCTTTGCTTTGGGAGAAGACTATATTATTTTAAAGAACAATTTCGAAGATCTCAATTCACACCTAAATTTCAATTTAAAAAATGTTCTTTATGTAGGTAGAGAATGAATAGCGGATTTTTGTTACAAAATTAATTTTGAGATTTTTATGAAAATTAATGGACAATAAGACAAATTATTCTAAAATCAAAGAAAAGGAAAAACAAATTTCTGTCGAAAAACTTAACGAGTGCGCCAACAAACAGTGAAATTTATAATTAACACACACAGTAGTTTCAGTAAATTGGCTGTGTGTGCATGTTGTTTTATTATTTAAACACCCCCTCAGTGGCACAGCGGTATGTATGCGGACTTACAACGCTAGAAACCGGGTTTCGATACCCGTGGTGGGCAGAGCACAGATAGCCCATTGCGCAGCTTGGTGCTTAATTTCAAACAAACAAAGAAACAAACAAACTATTTAAACCTTGCTGATTTTAGAAATGTTTCACATGCTTACATGAAACAAATGCCAAGCAAAACACAATTTTATCGAACTTATATTACTAATCCCATACTTTAAACAACCGATCAAATTTATGAACGTGAGTATCATTATAAATTCATTACTTGTTTTAATATTCATTACTACAAAAGAGAAGAAGACGATGACAATGGCAAGTTACGTTTTTCTGGTTTTATCAAGGTTTTAACACGGGATTCTTGTGGAAATGGATACCATAAACAATAACACAACCTACACAAATAGGGTAACAGATGTATAACAAATAAAAACCTTAGAACTGCTAAGCCCACAAAGTAATCTTTATAACTGCCGAGTTAAGCAATGGAATACGAAGAAGTCTCTAGAAATGCCGAGCTAACTGGCGGAATCATTAGATCTACTGAGCTGACAATTAAAGGAATATTTAGAACTGCTGAGCTAATTAGTGGAATCTTTAGCACCGCCGAACTGTAAATGGAATCTTTAAAACTTCTGAGCTAAGAAATCGAATCTTTAGAAGTATTGAATTAACAAACGGAATCTTCAGAACTGCTGTAACATATTTTAGATACTACCTGGCGGTTGGAAGTGCCAAAATTATTTACGCATAATTTTAATTAAAAAGTATCTAGACGTAAACTTGTATTTTGTGATCTATTATTAAACCATTGCTAGTGGATTATTTGAAATGGTTTTGAAACTTCTAAAACAACACAAAGAATGATATGGCATTCTGTCTTACATTAAACATATTACATATTTTTCACATAGTCTCAATTCACTGCAAAGGGTACGCTGGCTTACCTCCTTGATCGTCTAGGGCCACCAGAGTTCGAATTCCTGCTTCTTTACTCTACAAGTAGTAGAAATATACCAGAAAAAAAGTGAAAAGGCATGAAAAAAACAAGCAATGATCATAACACGTAATATACAATAAGAAGGTTGGTAGTATCATGTATTGTTTACGATCAGATATTAAACAAAAAACAGAAAACAAATATTTAAGGAGAAAATCATTATATTTCACATATTAGACGGTTTTACCATTCTGAACGTAAAATCCCACAAAATTTATATTTTCGAATAATATCATTGATATTGTTATCATTATATTTCACACATTAGACGGTTTTACTACGCTGAAGGTAAAATCCCACAAAATTTATATTTTCGAATAATATTATTGATATTGTTATGAGACAGAGAGAGAGAAAAAAGAATAGAAAGAGCTCATGATAATACTGGATGAAAAAACATCCAGCTGCTTGATGAAAGAAGAATTAGTGAGACACAGACATTATTCACCAGCAGATGGCGCTTACCTCCAAGTTCATCCAGCGCCACCAACATGCATATTTCTACATCCTTGCTCTAAAACGGTCAATTAAAGAAACTATTTTTATTCAATAAAATATAAATTCATTATGAACGAAACCAAAATAAAGAGTCTAAATAAATCCTTTAAAAAATGTTAAAAATGAAGAATATTTTCATGCTAAGTTTTTATTTTAGTTAACACATTAGTTATAAAAAAACCAAGTCACCTTGGAATGTGAACAGTACATTATAATGCAAAATGAAGATGAAAATCTTGTGAAATTATAATAAAGTTAATTCGACTGGTGATTGTTCGATTGGTGTTAACATTTCAGGAGCTGCATCTTTTCAAATGTAGATAAAACTGCATTTTTTAGGTCCGTTAATTAATATTGTTTACGTTTCAGCAGTACAATGATCAATGAACACTCAATATTGTAAGAAGAAAAAACTTAAAAATGCATAATGAAATATCTTAATCGTAGATTTTTTCTACTGCGTGTTCATGTTTTAACAGAATCTTTGTCTTCGTCGTGTACCCCCCTGTAAGCCTGGTTTTTAGATGTAACTAACGGAGAAAATTCAAACTTCTGTTGAAACATGCACAGGTAATAAAAAAAATTATAAATAAAATATTTTATTGTGCAATTTTAATTGTTGTTTTTGTTACCTTTCAACACATTGTTCAATACTTTAAAAAGTGATTGGTATTATTCATCAAATTCTAGCTTTGAAAAATGAGTTACTAGTAGTAACTAGATAAAGCGAAACTTTCCATAATTATTAAAAGCTCGTTATGCTCATAAACGATCTGGACCACGAAAATTGTTGTTACAATTTAGAAAATTTGACCTGATTGTGGTTTACGAATAAAATCCTGTAATCATTTTATAACAAAAAGTGTTCAACCACTACACGTTGATGTGCAAGTCTAACAGACAGAAAGATCTGAGATCTTGTTTGTTACAACTTGAAGTGGATTTCAGTTAATTTGTGTTTCTTATTGGGACTCAAAATATTAAAAATGAAGACAATGAGATATGTATACAGTGACAGTCTAAACATCATGATTTTGGATCAAGTTGAATGGCCATTGGAGTAAATCCAATGACGGAATTTATTCGAAATGAAACGTCACATAATTAGCTTTAACATCATAAACACGAATAGTGAAATGGAAAACATAATTTTTTTTTCACTTTCGGGTTTTGTTAAAGGGAAATTTTTTCAGTAAATTTATTGGTGGATCTATGGAGATCATAGTTCTACAACACTCCAGATCTACTATTGATACTTCTCTCGTGGCTACTGACGGATTTACTCAGATCACTGATTCACAACACAATAAACTTTGTGAAAACAAAAATATAATAAAAATTAAAACTGTTCAAAGAAGTGAAATTTCTTTATGAAAAATTGATTGAAATGACTTATTGTTAACAATATAAAATAACTCTTATTGTTAAGAATAAATAATCCATGTTATTGTTACTCTGTAAGGAATTATAACAGTTTTTTAATTAATGAAATAACACAAAATTCTTATCAGAACAAAAAATATACTGACCTCTTCACATAATGTCATCATCCGCCTGGTGGATTCCAGAGACTAGAAAGAAAAAATAATATATACCTTTTTGTTAAGTTGAACAAAGAAGCAGACTAGAAGCGAAGTTAATAAATATTTTTCTTAAAGTGTAACAGTGAAATATTAAAAAGTGATTAAAACAACTAAGAAATGCATGTAAAGTTTATCTACAACTTTTAGCTACCTTTTTTTTTTCTTCAAAACCTCAAACATATATCATATGTACAAGAGGTGTTCAGAGAGAAATGGCATTTATGCACCGTAGGTTAATTACACTAGATAACGTACACCAATAGTGTTTAAAAACGTGGCCAACCAAACATTACTTCTTGATATCCAATAAATGACGATGTAACCCTCGTCATACCAGTTCGGTTAGGGCGCTTGACTCGCAATCTGCGGGTCGCGGGTTCGAATCCCCGTCACACCAAACATGCTCGCCCTTTCAGCCGTGGGGGTGTTATAATGTGACGGACAATCCCACTATTCGTTGGTAAAAGAGTAGCCCAAGAGTTGGCGGTGGGTGGTGATGACTAGCTGCCTTCCCTCTAGTCTTACACTGCAAAATTAGGGACGGCTTGCGCAGATAGCCCTCTTGTAGCTTTGCGCGAAATACATAACAAACAAACAAACCAGTTTGGTAAAACACAACTGTATAGCTGCCTTATAATTGTCTGAAAGTGTAATCCATTCGACTGTTCATAAGATAAATAAATAAAATAAACGATGGTTTATTATCTCTTCGTATTATCCTCTTCTCTCTTCTTTATTATAAACTTAATTAAACCACTTTCTTCAAGATCGATGACGTTCGCAGCTATCATTTTATATTAGTGTTGCATGACGCATATCGCAGAAACACATAACACATGTTTCCGCTACTACTAATACTGACCTATTAACACAGCTTTTCGCCATCTGTTTCTTCCTGAGCGACTTCTCTGCTAATTTTTTTATTAACCATTGTATACAATTAGATATATACAGCAGCAACAACAAGAAGGAATTCTTAAAACAGTGTCAGATAGACATTTTCAAAACGAAAGTTCTTTACATAGTCGTATCTCTCTCTAGAATATTCGTTTTGAGATATAGTAGCATGCAGTAGACGTGTAATTGTAAACTCTAAAAACGCTCCATTCTTTGCTATGCACATAACTTATTAGATACAAGTTTTAGAAGTTTATATCGTAATTCACTACTTTAAAATTGTTTAAAATAAGTAAGTATACACTAGAATTCTTTCGCTGTTTGAAAGTAGAAATAAAAACCAAAGCGGACTGTCATAAAGGTCAGTTCATCTTCAACATGATGGCTAAAAAAAACTATAAAAAATGTTGTCGAAAACTATCACAAAAACCTATAGTGATTACAAATGAAACGTAAATTTAACACGAAAGGACCAACTTACTAATTTACATCTTTTTTTCACTTTACATGAATATGGTCTAATTTGTTGCGTGCATTATAAGTACGTTAACACACAACTGTATAGATTAAAAATAATTAAAATGTGAATTCTGCCCTTCTCCTGCACTTAACGTACTTAAATATATTTTTACGCATCTCTTAAATCTACAAAGAAATAAAAACACAGTACCACGTTAATCATAAATAGTGCTACTAAGCCTTTTCTCGAATATTAAATCTAAAATAACCAAATGTATGTGTGTGAAAGAGGATAACGAAATTAATAATACGTGTTTAGTAAAAACTACATCAAAAAGAATAAAGACCATGATTTATCAACATCACCTGAAAAAGAACATAGTTCTAAAAGATGAACGTACCAAATTTATAATACAAAAAGCAGAATCAATTTATATGTTTTTTTGTGAAGTTTTTATCAAATACATTTTAATAAGCTCTTTTCCTCCACTTACTTTCAATTTTTCATATTTTGTACAACCAAACTCTCCGGTGAATCAGTTGTAAGTTTGCGGAGTTACAACACTAAATTCTGGGGTTCTATACCCTGTGGTGGACAGAGCCCATTGTGTAGCTTTACGCCAAAACAATCATAGAGTCTTGATGTCTATCTGAGGGACGTTTATAACTAGGTGTGATGTTCAACCAACAGTGTGTCAGATTCTGTTTATATAACATTCTGGTCTTGTTTAAAAACTTTACTTAAAGCCAAACGGGTCACGGGTTGTCTAATAATACATTTAAACTAACTAGTTGACGTGGTTACTTCAACAGGTCTTTAGTTATTAGTTTGTTATTTAAAGTGGAATGTGTAAAACATAATACATTAAAACTAACTAGTACACGTGGTTACTTCAACAGGTCTTTAGTTATTAGTTTGTTTTCACCCACTATTCAGAGGTTATGAAGAATTCAAGCTAATTTCAATCTTGCACCGAAATAAATGTTTATTTTGAGATAATTTAATTAAATATTTCAATCCATTCATGTTATTCATAATTCAAAAAAATATATTTGATTGTTGATCAGGAGTAACAGTAAAGACCATTTCATTTTTCAAAAAAGTGAAGTCAGAGTTTTCAGGTATTGTGATGAATTAGTTTATTATGTTGTGGTCTTTCCTCTTAAACCTTCTACAAATAAGAAACAGTAACACTTTATTTTTTCTTCTAATTACCTGCCATAACCGAGGCACATTATTGAGAAAT